GGAGACTAGCTGACAACACAACTATCTGGACGCACGATTGGTGCCGGCCACTACTGTCCTGTGCAAACTGAACTGAACTGAACCTGAACTGAGACCACATACTGGACGCTGTAAGCCATCTGGCCAGTTTTGGCGGCACATTTCTCCGACCCGATGGCCAATGGGAAGTGATGCCCTCCCGGAAGCGGAAACACGTCACATTCCGGAGTCATTACTCAAAACCAATAAACAATCGAGCCGCCCCTGGTTCCTTAGAGAGACTACAGTATCTGGAGCGCTTAATTACTGAAGCAAACGAAACGGATTTGATTGACTACAAAGAACAGGTAGGCTCATAGTCTTATATGTCGAATAAAATTCGTAGACAATTGCTAATCTTGCCAATTTCGCATACGATCCAAGAAACTACCCACAGCTACGCCAGCTTGGTGTGGATGATCTGTTTTTCAATTGCATACGAGAAGCTTCATCGGTGTGGAGCGTCCTTGGTCAGTTTACAGATAACATTAAAGCCTTTTGTATAGGCCGCTTTTCTGTTCGAGCGCAGTATTTTTTCGACTTCACTCGCGCTCTGCTTTTTGTTCATTATTCTTCGGTCCAGAGGCTTCCCTGGATGGATCTATTTTCGAGGTAATAGAAGTATCCTCACTTATTTCATACACTCCTAACTGAAAATCCGCAATGCTTTTGCAGTCTTTCCATCAGTTCATAGAATTGAACATAGAAAGCTGAATCAGGACTCGTGGGGAGTGCTTATTTTCCTTTCGAGCGATATCACAATATTGACACAGCGAATATACTTGCACCATTTTGCACGCTTGTGTATATCCCAGGGAAACAGCAAAATGGCTCAGTGGAGTGGTATGAGTGATTTACTTCCAAGCAGATAATATCACAGGATAAAGCTCAGAGAACTGGATCGAATGAACGTAGAATCGACGATATTTCGCAGAGAGATTTCGATTATACCGAGAGCGCACACGTGAGATTTAACAAAGGATTAGCGCTACATACAATTTTCAGGGAGAGGGAGATGCGCCCAATTATAGGGCTACCGTGTAATCAAAAGTAATTGGGGAAGTTAGGTAATGTTGGCAAGGTTTAAACACGAACTCTCGGGTAGTGTGATGGTGACTAAAATCCCTTGATGTTTACATATGACACTGCTCCCTGTTCAAGCTGCAGTGGAATAATCCTTACATCGAAATAACTTCATGAGATACTGCAAGGTCAAAGCATATGAATTTTCTTAAGCAGTTCACAGTCAGAGGCTTCGGCTAATTAAGTCATGGCCAGCAATGCAGTGGAGCGTTATTTAGAAACTGCAGTGCATTTGAAGACGGTAT